AAAATTGTGGAAAAAAAAAACGTTTTTTTCTTAGTTTTTGTTATAAAATTTTGTAAATAAGTGATTTTTCTCCTTCACTGATGTGCACTAATGAGGCTGCATGGGCATGATAGCCTGCACTGATGGACATGATAGGTGGCACTGATGGGCATTGGTAGGTGGCACTGATGGGCATTGAAAGGCAGCACTGATATATGGCACTGATAGGCACTGACTGGCACTGTGTGGTGGCACTGACTGGCATTGTTAGGTGACACTGATAGGCGGCACTGATAGGTGCACTGATGCGCACTACTAGGCAGCACTGACTGGCAGCACTGATGATTGGCACTGATGGGTGACACTGAAAGGCAGCTCAGATGGGCACTGATATGTGGCATTGATGTGCACTGGTAGGCATTGATATGGCACTGATGGGCACTGGCACGTGGCACTGATGAGCACTGACAGCTGGCACTGATGGACACTGACAGGTGGCACTGCTGGGGCTACACTGATCATTAGGGCACACTGATCATCACTGCTCTGATGATCAGTGTAGATGTCCCCTCCGCGAAATGCCAATTACCGGCTCTCCTCTGTCAGCGTGACAGCTTGTGAGGAGAGAAATGCAGATAACCGGCATCTCCCTGTTTACATGTGATCAGCTGTGATTGGACACAGCTGATCACATAACCGAGCCGACATCTTCGGCTCTTTCCGTGAATCGGTGATCCGCTGTGTCCCTGAGCTGCGCATGCGCAGTGAGAATGGGAGGACGTCATATGACGTCCTCCCTTAATGAGAGAACCTCCTTGCGCCCGTCATTGGACTATATGGTGGGCGGTGATTAAAGTAGTGAGTGTACAGCTTGTATAACATGTAAATTTGCTGTCCCCTCAAAATAACTCAACACACAGCTATCAATGTCTAAACCGCTGGCAACAAAAGTGAGTCCACCCTTAAGTGATTTTGTGTGGCCACCATTATTTTCCAGCACTGCCTTAACCCTCTTGGGTATGGAGTTCACCACAGCTTCACAGGTTGCCACTGGAGTCCTCTCCCACACCTCCATGATGACATCACAGAGCTGGTGGATGTTAGAGACCTTGCGCTCCTCCACTTTCCATTTGAAGATCCCCCACAGATGCTTAATAGGGTTTAGGTCTGGAGACATGCTTGGACAGTCCATCAACTTTACCCTCTTTTTTTCTTTAGTAAGGCAGTGGTAGTCTTGGAGGGGTGTTTGGGGTCGTTATGTTGGAATACTGTCCTGTGGCCCAGTCTCCAAAGGGAGGTTATCATGCTCTGCTTACGTATGTCACAATACATTGTTCCCTCAATGAACTGTAGCTCCCCTGCCAGCAGAACTCATGCAGCCCAAGACCATGACACTCCAACCACCATGCTTGACTGTAGGCAAGACACATTTGTCTTTGTATTCCTCACCTGGTTGCCGCCACACACGCATCACACCATCTGAACCAAATAAGTTTATATTGGTCACATCAGACCACAGGAGATGGTTCCAGTAATCCATGACCTTAGTCTGCTTGTCTTCAGCAAACTTTTTGCAGGATTTCTTGTGCATCATCTTTAGAAGAGGCTTCCTTCTGGGACGACAGCCATGCAGACCAATGTGATGCATTGTGTTACGTATGGTCTGAGCACTGACAGGCTGACCCCCTAGCTCTTCAACCTCTGCAGCAATGCTGGCAACACTCATACATCTATTTCCCAAAGACAGCCTCTGGATATGACGCTGAGCACGTGCATTCAACTTCTTTGGTCGACCATGGCGAGGCCTGTTTTGAGTGGAACCTGTCCAGTTAAACCGCTGTATGGTTTGGCTACTGTGCTGCAGCTCAGTTTCAGGGTAATCTTACAGCCTAGGCCATCTTTATGTAGAGCAGCAATTCTTTTTTTCAGATCCTCAGAGAGTTCTTTGCCATGAGGTGCCATATTGAACTTCCAGTGACCAGTATAAGAGAGTGTGAACGATAACACCAAATTTCACACCTGCTCCCTGTGGCAGACCTGAGACCTTGTAACACTAAGGAGTCACATGACACCAGGGAGGGAAAATGGCTAATTGAGCTCTCAGCATAGTAAGTTGTTTACACAGGGTCACATACAGTGCTCCGTATAAGTGAGTACACCCCAACAGATTTGTCTGAAAACCTTTTACTTTCCTTTCAGAATCAATATTTTCTATGGGATACTATTCTACAAAATACACCCACAAATGCAGCCCATTGATTGCAAACAAGATTTGTTAATTTGCCCACACACCCCAATGAATGTCTTAGGAGCAAAGCTACATTTTAGACAACAAAATCCTAATTAGCAAGAATTCAACTACAGGTGAGTCTTATTCATTAAACGGGTGTCCCTTGATTATAAAAGGGCGTTAAAACCCCTTCCCATTTCATGCCTTTAGCAATGGCACCACATGGAAGAGAAATGTTACAAGGCCCAAGAAAGAAAATAATTTTTTTACACAAAAAAGGTGAAGGCTACAAGAAGATCAGCAAAGCTTTACTTATCAGTCAGAATACTGTTGCAAAAGTGATACAGAAATTTAACAAAGATGGAACTGCAACCATCTCACAGAGACATCCAAACCGTCCACAGACGTTGAAAAAGGAAGCCTCTCCTAAAGCCCATGCACAAAAAAATCCCACCTGGAATTTGCCATAGCCCATGCTGAAAAAGAAGACTACTGGGACTCTACTTTGGAGTGATGAGACCAAGATAAATGTTTTTGGAACTGATGGCTTCAAAACTGTATGGCGTCACAAAGGTGAGGAGTACAAAGAAAAATACACGGTGCCTACAGTGGAATGTGGTGGCAGTGTCTTTCTGTGGGGCTGCATGAGTGCTGCTGGTGTCAGGGAGCTGCATTTCATTGATGGTGTCATGAATTCAACTACAGGTGAGTCTTATTATTCATTAAACAGGTGTCCCTTGATTATAAAAGGGCGTTAAAACCCCTTCCCATTTCATGCCATTTGCAATGGCACCACATGGAAGAGAAATGTTACAAGGCCAGAGAAAGAAAATCATTTTTTTACACAAAAAAGGTGAAGGCTACAAGAGCAAAGCTTTACTTATCAGTCAGAATACTGTAGCAAAAATTTAACAAAGATGGAGCTGCAACCATCTCACAGAGACATCCAAACCATCCACAGAAGTTGGGAAAGGAAGCCTCTCCTAAAGCCCATGCACAAAAAAATCCCACCTGGAATTTGCCATAGCCCATGCTGAAAAAGACGACTACTGGGACTCTACTTTGGAGTGATGAGACCAAGATAAATGTTTTTGGAACTGATGGCTTCAAAACTGTATGGCGTCACAAAGGTGAGGAGTACAAAGAAAAATACATGGTGCCTACAGTGGAACGTGGTGGCAGTGTCTTTCTGTGGGGCTGCATGAGTGCTGCTGGTGTCATTTAATTGATGGTATCATGAATTCACAAATGTGCTGCTCTATATTGAAAGAGAAGATGCTACCATCACTCCATGCCCTTGGTCGTCGTGCACTTTTCCAACATGATCCAAAACACACATCTAAGGCCACTGCTGCATTTATGAAGAAGAACCTTATGAAAGTGATTCAGTGGCTAAGTACTGTACGTCTCCTGATCTGAACCCAATCGAACACCTATGGGGGGGGAATTCTGAAGAGAAAAGTTGAGCATCGCTCTCCATCCAGCATCCAGGCTCTAAAAGAGATCGTTCTTGAAAAATGGTAAAAGATGTTGCAATGTGTCGCCAGACTTTGTGCTGTCCTTACAAATCATGGAGGTCATACAAAAAACTAGATGTAGTAGTTTTTGTTGTGGGGGTGTATTTATTTTTGCATCAACTAATTTTGAGTAAAACTGAAGATTTTGTAATCTAACATATTGGCGTTCCACAGCACAATTTTATATTTATATCTATATTTTATGTGATTGTTTTATAAGTCACCATTTTATATGTCATTTAATAGTGCTGCATTTCTGAATATGTATGTTTTATGAGGGTTAGAGGTTGACCTTTAATGCCAGCTGCTTCATCTATTGTACCTAGCACTCGTATACCTATTTGTACTCCCTAATATAAGAAACCAATGGCTGCAGAAAAAAGTTTATATATTCTCCAATTCTGGACTGTAATGAATCAATGCCACTTATCATTGATCTACCAGGAGGGTTGTTTGATTTTTATGAATTTTTGGTAGATAATAAATCACTAATAATATCCACGTATTGGTATTTTTTTTTTTTTTTTTTTAAGCAAGAGATGTAGCAGAATACATTTTGGCCTAAATTTATGACGGAATGCGATTTTTTTAAAAAAAAAATATTTTACTGGACATGTTTAATAGCAAAAAGTCAAAAATATTTTTTAATATTAATATAGTTTTCTCAAAATTGTCGGTCTTTTTTTTTTTTATAGCGCAAAAAATTAAAACCGCACAGGTGATCAAATACCACCGAAAGAAAGCTCAATTTGTGGGAAAAAAAGGATGCCGTAATTCAAAAAATGGCCTGGTCAGGAAGGGGGGGGGGGGGGGGGGTAAATCCTCAGGAGGGCAAGTGGTTAATTTTTTTGAGCAGTGTATATAGAAACAGAAGTAGTTGTGATGTACTTGGAGTGTTTTTTTTTTCAAACTGTTCAACATACACTTTGGTTAAGTCAAAATGTTTTTTCAGCATATCATTATTATATGTTATGCAGACATAAATATAGAATTCAGTATAAAAAAACTAAACAAACCCTTTTGCACCTACGTACTGAAATCATCTTGTTTGGATACGTAGTGAAACGGCTGCCTTAGTAGGAACTCCCCACACTACTTTTCTCTGGTACAGTTCTGTGGTTTCCATTTCTAAGTATTCATGTAGGTGAATGATAGTGAAATAACATGTCATATATACACAAAGCAGCAAGTTGGTCGTCACGCCATCTTCCACACAAGACATCTTGTAAATGAGTAAGGAGGAGGAGTAAACTGCTGTGTTTCTGTCTTTACAGGAAAGATGTTTTCATCTTGGAACAAACGGACACTTTATTTTACTTTGTTCACTGTGATGTGTCCAGTAGGTTCTCTGGGCATGTATTATCTGTTGCTGCGTAAGTACATACAAATGTGGAAAATATACTATATTTAAGTTAACTGCGGGGGTACTAAAACTTAAAAAATTTACTAAAACTGGAGAGTACAAAATCTGGTGCAACTCTTCATAGAAAACAGTTTCCAGGTTTTATTGCCAAAGCTTAGTTAAACAAGCTGAAGTTAGAAGCTGATTGGCTGCCATGCACAGCTGCACCAGTTTCTTAGTGCTCCAGATTTAGTAAATCTATCCCTATATATTTAACAAAAAGTGGGCCTATAGGAATGTGGGGGCTTATTTTTATATCATCAGAAACTTCTATTAAAGGTTCAGACTATGTTTAAACAATTCTATATTTAATTTTGATTGGATAGTCTTGGATTCATTTGCAAGCTATGTTTTTTCACGTGACGCCATGTCATTATTATTATTATTATACAGGATTTATATAGCGCTGACAGTTTTCTCAGCGCTTTACATAATGGAGGGAGACAATACAGCAACAATACAGTTCAATACAAGAGGATTAGAGGGCCCTGCTCCTTGGAGCTTACAATCTAGGAGGGAGGGGCTAGTGGTACAAGAGGGGGATGGAGTGGTAGGAAGAGTAGATGATTCCAATCAAGGTGGATTTGATTTAAATCAAACTGATTTAAATCAAACTGATTTAAATCACGATTTAAATCACTAGTCAGTAAGGCTGGATGTAAATCCTAGTTTTCTACATAAAGACTAATTCTTGCTGGTATAACTTTAATATACAAGTAGATGAAGATTTTTAGAATAACAACTTTTCATATTCGTTTTTTTTATCCCCAGTTTAATAGGTTAATCATTTCATATTTGGACAACTTTTCTGTTGTATTTAGGAAGGAGAAAAATAATCATTACCTTAATAATAACAATTTAAAAAGATTTATTCAACTGAAACAATAACATTCCAGCATATGTGATTTGCTTAAACATCCATGTTTGGTAACTAATTTGGCTAAACAAAATATATATATTTGAAGAAACTTAGACTGTCAGCCCCTCCCTCCTTGCACTGTCGGCCCCTCCCTCCTTGCACTGTCGGCCCCTCCCTCCTCGCACTGTCGGCCCCTCCCTCCTCGCACTGTCGGCCCCTCCCTCCTCACACTTAGCTTCACTTTCTTCTTGTGCAGATCTATTCCACTCCAAACCATCAGAAAAATATTGTTTCTATTCTATTCACTGAACTTCTTGAAACCTTAGCACTGAAGGGGTTGATTCTGTATTCATAGGTTTGTAGAAGTTAGGATGAAGGTCTTTTTCTTAACTCTGTTCATGTTATAACATTTTTGCTGTGAAGAAGAGGCCTGTGATCTCCGCTGAGTCACATTCAGTTTTGAGAACTGCAAAAGTAAACCAATCATCTGTGATAATATCTTGTAGGCAGAGAAACTGCCCAATAATCTGACAGAAACCTCTGGAGAGCGTGACATTGTGAATGGATTCATGGAATTTATTTACCAAAAAAATTAAACATATACAGCCTTATTCTACATAATTAAAAAACGAATCTTTATTTCATGATGGAATAACCTTTGGATGGTAATATATTTTCCTCAAAAAGCATTTTATTAAAAAAAATCCGATTTAAATCAAAAAAAATCCGATTTAAATAAAAAAAATCTGATTTAAATTAAAAAAAAAAATCAGATTTTTAATAAAAAAAATCATTGATTTTTATCCACCCTGATTCCAATATTAGCTGTCATTAAAAATGCCTACAATTTGCACAACCATCTAACAGGCTAAAGCCCATTTTACACTGATGGGCTTTTATTATGCTTTTTCAGGGTGACAAAAGTGATGAAAAGTATTCCCCATTAAATCCTATTCAATGTTTCACACTGCAGGTGAGCTGCGCTTTGAAAAGTCCTGCATGCTGCAGTTTTTCAAAAGCACACCAAATAGTCGCCTTCCATTGTAGGTCAATCGGAATGCATCAAAACTGTATTAGTGTGAAAGGGCTATCAGATGATTCCTTAACAGCGGCCCCCTGGCTTCCTTCTGCCATCACCAGAGCACACAGATGCAGCAATGTCTAGCAGGGATGTAGTAGTCAAGGCTGATATTTAAGCAGAACCAGCCAGTTGGGGGCCCTACTGAGCACAGATTCTCCTTTTTGTAGCAGCTGCCCTATGCGTCATTGCTGTGCTGTGGTGTGGTAATGGCAGCCCAGAGGTGCTGTGGTAATGGCAGCCCAGAGGTAATGGCAGCCCAGAGGTGCTGTGGTAATGGCAGCCCAGAGATGCTGTGGTAATGGCAGCCCAGAGGTGCTGTGGTAATGGCAGCCCAGAGATGCTGTGGTAATGGCAGCCCCAGAGGTGCTGTGGTAATGGCAGCCCAGAGGAGGTGCTGTGGTAATGGCAGCCCAGAGGTGCTGTGGTAATGGCAGCCCAGAGGTGCTGTGGTAATGGCAGCCCAGAGGTGCTGTGGTAATGGCAGCCCAGAGGTGCTGTGGTAATGGCAGCCCAGAGGTGCTGTGGTAATGGCAGCCCAGAGGTGCTGTGGTAATGGCAGCCCAGATGCTGTGGTGGCAGTGGTAATGTGGAAATGCAGCCCAGAGATGCTGTTGTGGTAATGGCAGCCCAGAGGTGCTGTGGTAATGGCAGCCCAGAGGTGCTGTGGTAATGGCAGCCCAGAGGTGCTGTGGTAATGGCAGCCCAGAGGTGCTGTGGTAATGGCAGCCCAGAGGTGCTGTGGTAATGGCAGCCCAGAGGTGCTGTGGTAATGGCAGCCCAGAGGTGCTGTGGTAATGGCAGCCCAGAGGTGCTGTGGTAATGGCAGCCCAGAGGTGCTGTGGAAATGGCAGCCCAGAGGTGCTGTGGTAATGGCAGCCCAGAGGTGCTGTGGTAATGGCAGCCCAGAGGTGCAGCCCAGAGGTGCTGTGGTAATGGCAGCCCAGAGGTGCTGTTAGGTATATGGATATAGATTGTCTAGCGAGCGCTACCTAGAGAATAAGATATCTAAGTTATGTGTAAAAACCGCTAGAAAACCAAAAAGGTAACCAACACACCTTCCAGGAAACTATAGAAATAATAAAGGTGCAGCGCTGGGAATAGGAACAATATAGTGCAAGTGATAATCAAAACGAAACATACAATGTGCAAAATTGTTATATAAAGCACAATACGTGATAACACTGATAGTGGTCACAGTTGAATAAAGTGTCCAGATCAGGAAATGTATAACATGGGGATCCCGTAGAGTCCCGTCTTACGGTGTGAATATGTGATCCAGAGGTGATAGATGTTTAATAAACAGAATGCGCACTCACCAGAAAAATGCGTATTATATACGCATAAAATTAAGTCTCCTGTATCATCAGGTACACATAGGTCATCTGCATTCTGGTCAGGCTGCATTCACTGCCATCCTCTGGTCATCAGCATAACAGGATTCCAAGGTTCATCAGAAAATCACAACATCCGGGGTCACCTCTTGGGCACTGCGGAGGGTGGGCACTCACGAAGAGAGCCCAATAAGGGACCCCACATAGTGTGATATTGTATGGATGAACTTTATTCCAATAAAGGTAAGTAGAAACAACAATACTGACCAGAAATTCAGGATGGCCACCAGCGGTGGCTAGATGTCCAGATGCTGTAGCCCCTGACGTGTTTCGTGCTAAGCACATATTCATAGGGTGCAGGGCTTACAGCAGGACACTTTCATGGAGCTATTTATATTCAAAACTGGCGCTCGCGCTTATCGCGCCATATTTGAAAGCTTACTATGTTATGTTGGTGATACAGAATGGGGCGGGCTATAAAATAGTGTAGATTGGGAAAGTTTCACTCTGCTTTGATAACCTATTATAAGGTACTGTACTTTTCAATTGACATACTATAAGTTTAAAACTTTTTATGCATTTTTGTTATTGAATAATTTTTTTTATCTCTATTACAGAGTCATTTCGCAAGAAAAATTTTTTCACAGAAGCTATTGAGAAGCTGGAGTCTCAGCCTAGTGCTCTAGAGATTTTAGGGGCACCACCTCTTAAAGTCCACAATCTCAAGCTGTTGGATGAACACAACCGTGTTGCCGTGTCATCAGCTCGGGTTTGTCCTATGTAGTAGTGATAGATGCTGTTTGCAATTATAAAAAAATCAGCATGCTAGTTAATATCTTTCACCTTTATTTTAGATTTCCATCAACTTCATTATGCATTTCTCGATGATGTTGGTTAAATCAATTCTCTAAATATCTGAACAGTTGGTAGAAACCTAAACTCACTCCCACCTACCAAGATCTGCCATGCCATTTTTATCCTATATTGAAACTGTTTTGTCTTTTAACCGCTTCCCAACCGATCTATAGCAGAAATACTGCTACAGGGTGGCACAGGTGCGCAAAATCACATGTGTGTATATGTATATATGTGTGTGTGTATATATATATATAATATATATATATATATATGTGATTTGTATATATGCATTTATATATATATATATATATTATATATATATATATATATATATATATGGGATATTTCCGGGTAGGGGGCGCGTGCGAGACGCCCATTCACAGCTGCGGCTGTCAATCACTGGGTCCCGGACGGTAATTACTCTCCGGGCTCCTGATGATTTCCGACAATTCTCCTCCCTGTCAGCTCAGGCACACTGCTTTGGATGCTTCTGCACAGCACAGCCATTCAAAGCAGTGTGATTGCAGTGAAGCACACTGACACCGCCCCCTAGTAAAACACTCCAGCACACAGTTAACCCTTTGGTCGCCCCTCATGTTAACCCCTTCCTGCCCGGTGTCATTAGTACAGTGTTTGTGCTTTTTTTTTTTTTTTAGCACTGATTACTGTATTGGTGTCACTGGGGATGTCATAGACACCAAGTCAGTTCCCCCCCAGTGTCAGAATGTCCGCCGCAGTCCCGCTATAAGTCACTGATTGCCGCCATTACTAGTAAAAAAAAATTTTTAAATTCCAGTATATACCAAAAATTCCAAAAAATTCCAAATACCCCATTTGTAAACACTATAACTTTCACGTAAACCAATTAATTTACACGTATTGGGATTTTTTTTTTTTTAGCAAAGACATGTTGCAGAATACATATTTTGGTGTAAATTTGTGATGAAATTTGATTTTTTTTAATTTTTTTACTGGACATGTTTAATAGCAAAAAGTCAAAAATATTTTTTTTTTTCTCAAAATTGTTGGTCTTTTTTTTTTTTATTTTTTTTTTTTTTATAGTGCAAAAAATAAAAACCGGACAGGCGTTCAAATACCACCAAAAGAAAGCTCATTTGTGGGAAAAAAAGGACGTAAATTTAATTTGGGTGCAACGTTGCACGACCACGTAATTGTCCATTAAAATAACGCAGAGGCGTAACGCAAAAAATGACCTGGTCAGGAAGGGGGGGATAAATCCTCAGGAGCGCAAATGGTTGACTCCCACCATATTTTTTGTAGATAGTGTTTAGGTTGCCAAAATGACGACATTTTTCATTGAAGGACACAGGATTCAAAGACATTTAGGTTTTATTGCTGCCTACAGGAGGATTTGGACATTGGCAGACAAAAAAAGTGACCAGCCTGTCATAACCCCTCCCACGCTCATTCCTCAGTTTCTCTAATGTTCAGGAAAGATGGACACCTTTTCTCTACTTGGAAAAGTTTTAAAGGCTAAATTCACTTTTTAGAAAAAAAATAATAAATGCACTTTTTTTTTGCAGGTAAAAAAAATGTGCATTTATTAATTTTATCTACAGGAGCCTGTAAAGCATTGCACCAGTGATCAGTAGATCGCTGATGCCATGCAGGTCTCCTGCAGACCTGTCAGAATATCTGCTTGCTGTGCAGGATATATGGCCAAGCAGATATTCTGACAGGAAGCTTCAATGAACTACAATGCCGCTCTACTGCGCCGTGGTGGTTCATTGAAAACTACAAGCCCACGGCTGCCAAGACTTGAAGTTCATTCATTCATGGAAGTCCGTGACTGAATGATGCCGCCATGTGAGCAGAGCCCGGCACAGCAAAGATGTTTTAAAATTTGATCGATAGTACCCGTACAGGAGACTTCTCCCCATTTATCTGTCAGAGGGGGGGGGGGGAGGGGCGGCTATGGGAACATGTGGCATGTTCCACCCTAAAAACGGCTGGAACATGTAACATGTTCCCAAAGGTGAACTTATCCTTTAACCATTTTATCCTTTAAAAAAAATTTTTTGACATGCTCCTTGAACTGGCTTCTTCATGCAGTTATCCAGATTGGCGTATCTTCAGCAATAACTTTGGAGATCATATCTGGAACCTGCTGGATTGGAAGATTCTGGGGCCTGCCTGGAATGTGACCTTCGATGGCTGGGATCTGCTTGTGGCACTTTCCATGCCGCTGTGTGCTGTGTTAATTAGCCACAGAGTGCTTTCCAGGTCCTATGCTGTGGCACAGCATCTGATGTATTCTATCTCTGAAGGCTAATTTATGAGTAGGCCATGTGGACTGAGCATCTTGAGCCACCTCATTAGGGTTTCGGCATTCTCTCTATTTTCTGTTGGTTTCCACAAAAAGGGTTAAGATCCTGAGGAATTGAGTGGTGCGTCACTGGATGGAGGTCTGCGCATGTACAACCTGCACTCTATTCCCACAATTCAGCTTGAGGTAGCACCTACCCAACACAGTTTCTAATTACAAGAGACACAAAGTTCCACCTTAGTTATTCCTTGTTGCGGTCTAAAATATCCTTGTCGCTGCCACTGCTTAAACCTATTCTGCTACCAGCAGCCAGCTTGTAAGTATTCAAGGCTTAGCTTTGTACCCTGAGCTTCACTGTCCCTGATTTGCAGTACAAAATGTCAAACTCCAAGTTCTCCTGTACTGGTTCCCTCCCAGATCACAATCCATTATCACATCTCGGTGTTTCCTGCAGAGCTCCCACTGAAGGGCCTGACACTGACAGCCTGAGATGTTGTCTTCTATTGAGTCCTCGGACTGCAATCCTTGGAGTTATCATTTTCTCTGTTAAAGCTCATGTACACTGACCTAAAAAATGCTGTTTTTACAGGTGTTCAGCAGGATTTTTTTATGACTGTAAACACAGCTTTATGTTAGCCTATGTGGCCATGCACATCAGGCGTTTAGATCCATATCTCAAGAGCCGTATTTAAAGGTATTAAAAAAAAAAAAAAAATGCACCTAAGGTGCATTCTGAGAGCATTTTTGAGCATAATTTACACATGTGCGAGCATAAGCACGCACAAATGCATTTAAATGTATTCCAGTAGCCGGAGTAAATTATTATTCTGGCCAGTAGAATGCATTTACGCTCGAAGCCATAAGTGCATAAACATGTACTTGGAGGCATTTTTTTCAGCCATTTCTGTCAGAAAAATTCCAGCACATTTGAGCCATTAACTCATACACCCTTGTGCATGAGACCTTAGGCGTGGCCCCTCCTTGGTTTTAACCAAGGAGTATTTCACAACAGTTATTCAGGATTTCATGGGCATGGGCCAAATTGCAACCTTGGTTGCAAATTCTGACCACAGTGGCAATATGCGTACCCCCACACATTGCTTTCCTTTGACCATGCCGTTGTGTTCAGGGGGGAATGGGCTCTACACCCAGAGGTGTTCCAAGACATGTGTGACAGGTGGGGGATATCATGGGATCAGTGATCTATGCCTTCCCCCTACTGGAGGGATTCCAAGAATGTTCATTAGTTCTGAAATGACCGAGGTGAATGTGGTACTCTGACCTGATCAGGATAATTATTTGATCTACAGGCCTTAGCAGCCTTCTGCCACAGAGACTCTGATAAATTCTGAGTTTATGGACTTTTTATCAAACATGTTTCCCCGAGCAGTCGTAGGCTGCTGCCATACTGTTAGCACCACTTTAAAATGGGTAAAAAGCCTTTTACTGTTCTGGCCTTCTGTCTGGGTCCACTACATCAGAAGGAGATTTCCCTTTGTTGTCTTGATGTAGTTTGTGCTGTACATGTCTACCTCAGAGCCATGGCTTCCATCAGGAAGATTGATTTAATCTTTTTCATCCCAGATTATCCCTGCAAATAGGAACTAGCTTCTTGCTGCACTATTTTTCAGTAGCTCAAACAGATCATTATTTGAGCCTGTGGTCTTAAGGATCGAGTTCCACCCATTCCCGTCAATGTACATGTTTGGCATCAGGCAGCTGTTTACCATATTTGCAAAGCAGCCACAGGTGGCTGTTTGGGCTTCATCTGATACCAACTTTGAACATAAAGGCCTTCAGGCTGTCCTCTAAGCTGCAGGCAGTACTGCCTGTTAGCTTTCTTTTTTTGGCTGTGGTGCCCATCCCTAAGGGGACTTCTCTTGAACATCCCAAATGTCTCTGAATCCTTTGTCCCTCAATTATCTAGAAAAAAAATTAAATTTTTGTCCTCCTCATAAAATCTTTTTCTTCAATATTCAAATTCTTATTGAAGAGTTCAAACTCTTATTGAGGAAGGGCTCCACGCTTCTGTGTTTTATGATCGTGCTGTCTCCATACTGCTTTATGACAAAACCAAGGCATGCTGAGAGCGGGAGAGATTATACCAGGCTGGTCATTGGTTTTTTTGTTTGCCAGCATCCACATTCTCCTGTAGGTGACAGTAAAACCCAAATATCTCTGAATCCCGTGTTCCTCTATGAACTCCACAAAAAGGATTTTAAGGTAAGTCTGCATCTGAATTTTAAACGTTACATCTAGCAAAGGAATCATAGGAGAAAAGGAACACTGAAATGAGGAAATTAAGTAGGTCAAGTAACATGAAAGCATCTCTTTTTATATAGATACTCATACAATTGAATGGCAGCTATGTATTAAAAGTCATAAACCTTCTGTATTTGAAAAGGGGTGGAATCTATACAAAAATGTGTCATTATTCACATGTGCCTATCGCAGCATGTTCTCAAGATAAAGTCCATCAGGGTACGGCAGTAGGAATTTCTTGTGAAAATAAAAAAATCAATAATGAAGTAGTTCATGTAGATTACTAGCAAAGTATTATTATAATTCGTAATATCCCCTGTTCCTTTTACAGACACAACACCATGCTATCTCCCGTGAAGTACATTTAAGCAAACTAGGAGTGTTTCAGTTATGTGACACAAGTGACCGCTATTTTCTTGATGAAATTCATTTGTCATAAGAGTAACATCACTACTGTCAGTTTTATGGGTGTGCATTACTGATTTGGTTGTCTGTAAGTTTTATTGCTGCTTTCTGGATATGATATATATTTATGGCATTATGTCACAATTTACCCAAAATATTTAGAGTACTACTGACAATCCCCCTAACATCACTCCCACTTCTATAATACTGAAATACCTATCTAGCCAACTCCCTTAAAAACCTCAGTCTCATCAATTCTAGGCTTTCTAGCTAAAAGATTTTTATAGACAATGCCATAGACCAACACTGCAAATTCTAAACCAACATCCAGTACCACCCAACGCCCAGCCCTGGAGCACACAGTAAGAATATTCATCATATCCTTCCTAATGTAAATATGCTTCTATCAATCTCCCTCCCACACACTCTTTACACTAGCCCCTGACCTACAAAGCCATCCACAACACTGCCCCTGACTACCTCACCAACCCCAAGTACCACCCTACCCGTACCCTTCGCTCCTCACAGGACCTCCTTCTATCCTGCTCCCTGGTCTCCTCCTCCCACGCATGACTGCAAGACTTCTCCAGGTCCTCCCCCATCCTCTGGAACTCACTGCCCCAATCCATCAGACTGTCACCTTCCCTCCTCACCTTCAGGCGCTCCCTGAAAACCCACCTCTTCAGGGAAGCCTACCCCACCCTCACCTAACAGCTGTTCTCCTCCACTCCTCCTACCACTCCATCCCCCACAGCCACTTCCTCCTGTGCTACTACCCCCTCCCTCCTAGATTGTAAGCTCGAAAGAGTAGGGCCCTCTAACCCCTCGTGTTCTGCTGTTGTTGCTGTTCTGTTTCTTGTATTGTCCCCCCCCTCTATTGTACAGTGCTGAGTAAACCCTTTGGCGCTATATAAACTCGATGTAATAATAATCTTGACCCATCACCTTTCTTCCCATCTCCCGATCCTCCATACCTTAAAGTGGTCCCAAAACCTGAAGGTTTTTTACCTTAATGTAATCTCTGCATTGTTAAAAAAAAAAAAAAACCTTCAGAGTGCAGCCCCCCTTATAATTACCTGAGTCCGATCTCAATCCAGTGATGTGCATGAGAGCAGAGGCTCTCCCGGCTCTCTCCCTCCTCATTGGCCCCTGTTGTCAGTTAGAGCCAGTGAGGAGGGGGCGGGATGAGCCATGCTCTGTGTGTCTTATGGACACAGAGTTGGCTCGGGAGCAAGCCTGCACAAGTGCCCCTAGAGGATGCTGCTTGCCTTGGGTCACTCGAAGGGGGTAGAGGAGCCAGGAGCATTGGCGGGGGACTCCTAAATAGGAGGATCGGGGCTGCTCTGTACAAAACCATTGTACAGAGCAGGTAATAAACCTGTTAATTAAAAAAAAAAAAAAACTGCCTTTACAATCACTTTAACCTCTTCACGCCAACGGTACGCAAATATGCAGCTTCTCTGTGGCTGCGCCTTGATGCTGAGCGGCCGCATATTTGTGTACCATTGATAAAGAAACGTGTGCTGAGAGCGTGCACCCTGTGTGCTCCCAGCATGTGCCGGTGTCCCACGGAAAGGTCCCCATCTCTCCTTGCGATCGGGACCTTTCCGATCATGTGACTGCCAATCACGGCGGTCACATGACCCTAAACCACGCCCTGCCTCCCGCCGTCAGATACCCCTTAAAGGGCCGGGAGGTGCTGGCGTGAAGGGATTAATGACCAATTGACTATGATCTCTGCTCAGCCTTGTGATCACAATTATGGTTTACTGCTGTTTTCTATGTACTAAATAATTACATCCCAAAAACAACCACTTTACTATGTACTCATACACACAATATATTCTTGCTTACACTGTTTACTGTAAACTTTTTTTTTTTTTTTTTTCCTTTTTATCGCTGAAGTGTATTTACTTGTAATCCCTTATGGACAAAAAAAATCAATAAAATATACAGTATATTGACAAAAATATACACAGTACCTTTGCTGTGCGTATTACAAGAAGAAATTGGAATTAAGTGTTTATTTTTAGTATATTGTTTATACATAAAGTTTTTTAGGGTCAAGAAAATAAGTTAATGCCTTCAAAAATAAATGAGGTCGTCACAATGGATCGCAGTTCTCCTGAGTCACCTTCAGCACACGTATAATTTGAAATGTTAGTCACATCCATAAATTCAGCTATGAGAATGCTAAGTGATAGATCATGGGAACATGAGAACACGCATGAAGCCTCTAACATTCATTTGTTTAAATCACTTTTGTTTGTAGATTCGGATACCAGTGTCTGGATCCCTAAGTGCTGGACATCTGTGCTCTTCAGCTGTACGAGACCAATCGAATGAAAGGTGCGTGTCTCTGTATAGGAAACCTGTGTGCCCCAAACATCTGTATGTTTCTTTGTTTTTTATTGTTGTAACTGGTTTTGTATTGCAACTGGAAACAACTACAAGGAGAATGGGGTAGGCTGGAGTAAACTCTATAATCCATGCAAACAAGGATGGAGATTAGGCGTGACCTGAAATGTTTGGGGCCAAAAAATGGTGACTATCGAAGAAAGAAAGGCTTGGATATGAGTAGAAGGATTTAGGGGTTGCAGCATCTATGTTTTTCTTGACCTTCACTAATGGTGCTGTGTAGGACCGAAACAGGGGCGGACTGACCATTTGGGAACTCGGGCATTGCCCGTGGGCCTGGGGTCAGTAGGGGGCCCCATGAGATGCCTCTGGTACCTTTCATAGGCTTTTTTGGGTGTGGTTTGAGTGTGAGTGAGGACACAGGGGCCCCATGATCCCCTATTGCCTGGGGGCCCCATGAGTTGTCAGTCCGCCCTTGGACAGAAAGTGAATCCAGAACCTGAAAAAAAAAATCACTGTACAGTGTAGGAACCAGTCACAAATCCCTGGAGTTGTAACTATTGTTGTAGCTGATCTTATATTGCAACTGGGAATAACTAAAGGGAAAATGGGGTAGGCTGGAGTATATAATCCAAGCAAGGAAGGAGATTAGGTGTGACCTGAAATATGTTGACCAAAAAAAATGGGGAACACCGAAAAAAGGCTTAAATATGAGTAGAAGGATTTAGGGATTGCACCATGTATGCGTTTCTTGACCTTCACTAGTAATGCTTTCTTTGGAAGTCTAGTAGTACTGTATGAGATGGAAAGTGAAAAGTGAACACTGTACGGTGTAGGAACCAGTCACAAATCCCTGGTCCTCTTTGGTGACATGACATCATGCTTCTGTATCAGTGTCAGGATTAGAAGCAGGCACTAATTTGGGAGCATTATTTAGTCTGTGGCAAATTCGTTCTCAAAATGGAGAATACAAGGTGACCAAACCTAAAGACGGAACTGATTTTTCCCTGATGCAAATAGAAAAAAAATGCAAGTTCACAATAATGTATACATGCACACTTACAAAACAATGTGCCTTGAGGCATGTCCAGAAAGGATCTCGTCTATTGTGCAGGCCCATGCAATCCAATGGGAGCCCTTGATGCTGCGATCTCCAACGCTGGCCTAACCTGCCCTCCTGAAACCATTCCAAGCAGTAAATCACAGTGCAGGTCTTTGGGTGTTTACTTACCTGAGCTTAATTAAGCACAGTCAAATCCCTAAGCCCTGATGGATTTGGCTAAGGCAACCCATTGGATTTATTCTGCTATGGATCAATTCTATCATTAAAAACATTGAACTCTTGGATGTTTATTTGTCACTTCATTGTATGGATTCTCAGCTATGGATCTTTTCCCTATTCCTGAGGGGTGTTCCCTTTTTTGTGCTTGGACAGTTTCGGCGACCCTTCGGGAAATCTGAATCCAGCACTCCATTTCGTTTTGAGTCTGGGATTCTCTGTGGCTTTGACCTTTTTGCTTTAGCTTTGCAAGTTTAATGCAGGCCATAGACGGGGAGAAAAAAAACGGCCGATTTTTCTTTTAAAAAACAAAAAATTGGTCGTTCAAGCGGCTGACGTTACCAGGAATGGTAAAAAAAAAAAAAAAATCGGCCGATTTTCATCCCGTCTACAGCCGGCAAAAAGTGTACCTGCAGAGAGCTCTGCTATTTCTTTGACAGTTCTTTGACATTTATAGCGGTTGCAACAATGTATCTATTTGTATCCATTTAGGATACAGATGTTTTTATTCGGAAACAAATAGATACAATGTTGCAACCGCTATAACGGAGCAATCTGCAGGGACACTTTTTGCCGGACTGGAATTTCTTCTTCTTCATCATCCTCTTCTTCTTCATCCTCTTCTTCATGTCTTCCTCTTGTAGGTCACTGCTCATGCGCAGATTTTTTATCGGTAAAAAAACCGGCCGATTTGCCCATCATTGCCACGAAAATCGGCCGATTTTTTTTCCAACTTTACCGATAAAAAAAATCTGCCAAAATACCGAAAAACGGCCGAACAAATTGTCCACTACCGATCCGAAAATCGGCCAATTTTATTTTCGGCCGACAAATCGGCCGATTTTCGACCCATCTATGGCCTGCATAACCGTCTCTGCATCCTGAATCATTCACCGGACCCACACGGATGTATACGGAGATGCACATGGAGATGCATGCAGCCGACCACCTGTCATTGATTTAAATAGGTTGGCTGCATAGAACATCTGCCCACCCTGTGCAGGTGAAGACGATGCTTTTCTACACATGTACAGATTGGCATGCCCATGTGAATTTATTTTTTTAAGGTCTGCTTTAATTCTTATTCTCAGCTGCATGTAATGAACTGTAAATTAAAGAACAGAATCTGTCCTCAGTTTTCTTTGGACTGCATACCTGACTGTCTACCTGATTTCTATGTTTGGTGTGGTTAACGTTTCCGACAACATGGGTAAGTATAGATCACATGGTACTCATTGTAAACTTGTATTCTACTACAGATGCAGCCACTGTGTGTACATGATTGCAAGTGTAACCAGCACCACTAAATATATATATTTTTGTACATTTTTAGATGGAATCTCCTGGATGTGGTTCTAGAATTAGAAAATGGACAAAGTATCCCAATTTATCATTCTGGTATACCTGCTGAAGATGTAAAAAAGTCCTATATCATCTTAAATATGCTTTATAAAATAATAAATTGTTGCAAAGCTTTTACAATGCTCTTCTGTAAGTGCTCATTTGAGGCCATTGTGTGTGTCAATAAAAGCTTGCAATGTTTTTCTTTGAATGAAGTGTATTTGAATATAACTTTTAAAGAATGATTCATCTTTTGAACATTTTAGAGCATGGTATAAACCTATTACCTATGTGCGTAACATTACTCTTGACTGTGTATTAGACATCTCATAGACAGGAATGTAAAAGTTGAGGGAAAGAGGCAGCGCCATCTAAGTGCAGCAAATTTGGAACAGTTATTTGCATCAAAAGGTTGATAACTCCCAAGATGGATGATGAAGAGCGCTTGTCCTTACAACATTCATCTGCTGTGGTCCGGAGTGATGTCTGGGTCCATGTCTAGGTGGTGCTGGCGGCTCTCAGCATTTCCTTCTGTCACAGTTACACCATGAAGGAGAAGGCCGACGTCACGGTAGCGGGGGGGATGGCGCACACTCAGAGCATGTGTACTCCTTCTTCTGGCCTGAAGAAGGAACACACATGCTCTGAATGCACGTCACCGGAAGTGATGTTGGCCTTCTCCTTCCTGATGTAACTGACAGTAGGAAACGCTGAGAGCCGCCTGGACATTGGCTTCACACCTAAGGACCCAGACATCACTCCGGACCACAGCAGATGAATGTTAAAGGACAAGCACTCTTTCATCATCCATCTTTTGAGTTGCCAACCTTTTTATGCAAATAACTGTTCCAAACTTGCTGCACCTATATGACACCGCCTCTTTTTCCGCAGAGTCTCTTCTAGAGCTCGATGCAAGCTGGCAGCCTCTAAGTCACGGGTGTCAAAGTGGCGGCCCTCCAGCTGTTGCCAAACTACAAGTCCCATGAGGCATTGCAAGATTGACAGTTACAAGCATGAATCCCAAGGGCAGAGGCATGATGGGACTTGTAGTTTTGCAACAGCTGAAGGGCTGCCAGTTTGACACCCCTGCTCTAAATAAAGCCCACCCCATATGGACTTTTATATGAACTAATAATTTTATATGGACTAACTGTATTAGCAATTACAGCAGGCATATCGGTGCGGTTCTGACTTGGTTGGAGCCGCACCGATTTCTAAAGTATTACATGCACTACTTTTGGTGCGATTTGCATAGACATCCGTGTCAGACGTCTTGCAAATTGCACTTCAAATCGGCATGTCATCTGACTTTGAAATCGTGCAACTTCACTGAAGTCGCACGATTTCAAATTCAGGATCGGTGTGACCGCGGAGTTATACGAGAAGTTCTCCCCTATCCACCAGGCTGCCCCACTTGGTTGGTCCCCAGCTAAATATATTACAGTGGCCACTCTAGCCTATCTGGAGTGCACCAAAACACTCCATTTTTTGTTCTATAGACATGTACAAGTTGTTTTGATACAAGCTGGAAATGAGATTAAAATTGTTACCTGTAGTGTCCATATTTTCATCAGGATGTTGATTAGCAACCTATAGGTATCAGATGCTACCTATAGGTTGCTAAGCACCTAAAGCAGACTCGCCAGTAACTTTACAAGTCTTTGTGTATAACTCTCTGGAATCACACAATATACAGAAACCGTTTTTTTTTATTATCTTACGAAAAACTGGTACCTTTCATAATTAAAACAAAAAATAGTCAGTCAGGTGACTATGACTAAATCCCCCCCCCCATGGATCACTTTTTTTGTACAGCATCACAAGGGCAGAGACAGTAGCGAGCTGATCGCCATGAAACACTTTTGTACACATGTAAGGCTAGTACACACACTAAACTTTTCATGATTGTATCATCTCTGGGCCAGCATCTTAGTGCAGGGAATAGATTATATGTGCAAGCCGTTAACAGTAACATTTATTTTTGCCAAGTCTGCCTTAAATGCTATATGTTTTAGCAAAAGAATAGCTCTTCTCGCATATTAAATGTCTCTGACTGTACAGTTTTCACATTTGTGCTGTAACCCAGATTTGATCCATTTATGCATTAAGAAAAGGTGGTAAAACAAATCTAAAATGCAAAATAACTGTATTTGCTCGGTGTTTATTGTATGTTGAAAAGTGCCATAAAATGGCTACAAATTCTGGGCAAAACAAATAGAAAACTTGATAAAGGAAATAAAGACGTATAAGAATATTCGATACAATAGGAAAGATGGCAGAAGTGATTTATTATGGGGAGGAATTCCAAAACTAACACTGGTACAATAGTCCTTCAGGCTTTAGAAAGGGGGACAGGCCCCCAAAACGCAATGCCTGAATGACCAGATAATTCTTTGTGGGAGGAGGGTGGATGCAGGCACCATGCCAGATTCTGAGTGTTGGATGACGTCTCTAGCAGGGAGCACTCTGGAGACGATGTTCTAAGCCATTTTTTTTTCAATTACTTTTGACAGCTCACCAACATAGAATTTTGTGGAATCCTGCCACTGCTCAGCAACTTTGCTGGCCACAGCATCTGCTACTAAACCCCCCATCAACATCATCAGTGGCCCTATGGACATACACTGCTCAAAAACATTAAAGAAACACTTTGAAAACACATCAGATCTCAATGGGGAAGAATATCATGCTGGATATCTATACTGACATGGACGGGGTATGTGTTAGGAACATAAGGATGCCCCATCGTTTGATGAAAATGATCGACCTACAGAGGACTGAATTCAAAGACACCCCAAAAATCAAAGTGTAAAATTGATGCAGCAGGCTAGTCCATTTTGCCGCAATTTCATTGCAGTAACTCAAAATGGTACTCGGTATTTCGTATGGCCCCCAAATGCTTGTATGCATGATTGGCAACATGCTCCTGAGACGACGGATGTGTCCTGTGGTATTTCCTCCCAGATCTGGACCAGGGCATCACTGAGCTCCTGGACAGTCTAAGGTGCAACCTGGCGGCAGATGGGCCAAAACATGATATCCCAGAGGTGTTCTATTGGATTTAGGTCAGGTGAGCGTGGGGGCCATTCAATGGTATCAATTCCTTCATCCTCCAGGAACTGACTACATACTCTAACCACATGAGGTCAGGCATTGTGTACCAGGAGGAACCCAGGACCCACTGCACCAATGTAGGGTCTGACAATGGGTCCAAGGATTTCATCCCAAAAACAAATGGAGGTCAAGGTGCTATTGTCTAGCCTGTATAGGTCTGTGCATCCCTCCATGGATATGCTAAGTTTATGCAAAGTAGTAAGCTTTGCAGAATACCCTGCAATTTTTATTATATAATTACTTCTATAGCACCATCAATTTACGCGGCGCTTTACATATATATTGTACATTCACATGAGTCCCTAACCCTCAAGGGGCATACAATCTAAGGTCCCTAACACCCATGCATACATATACTAGGGCCAAATGAGACAGGAGCCAATTAACCTACCAGCATGTCTTTGGATTGTAGGAGGAAACCGGAGTAATCAAAGGAAACCCATGCAGGCACAGGGAGAACATGCAAACTCCAGGCAGGTGGTGCCATGGTTGGGATTTAAACCAATGACCCCAGTACTGCCAGGCAGAAGTGCTAACCATTTAGCCACTGTGCTGCCATTATTCAAACCTGCTCATGGTACCAAAGCCCAACGGGGATATTAGTCCTATTCTGGACCTAAAATCCCTTAAATACCTTCATGTTAAAAACGGTTATATGAAATCCAAGGTTGGTTATTGCCTCACTGAGATAAGGGGAATACCTGGCATCCATAGATATCCAAGATGCCTACCTGCAGATTTCCATTTATCCACATCATTTTCTATGCTTTGCAGTGGAAGACAACCATTCCGGTCTTCTGGCCTATCCTCTGCTACCAGTGTATTCACAAAGGTTCTAGCACCTTTTTAGCCTAAGAACTTAGGGCATACAGGTCATGGGTTATATAGACTACCTTCTCCTGAAAGATGTATTTCCCTTCCAGTTATCTGCAGGACAACTCAAATGCGCAAGACCTCTCATTTGGTGATCAACTTCCAAAAATCTGTTCTCCAGCCTTTTCTTTGCTTGGGATGTGTCCAGGACCAGATCCAAAAGTATTTCAAGCAAAGACTTTCCTGCCAGATATAAAAAAAAAAACAAAAAACAAAAACCTCTCTCTCTCAGAGCTCACGTTTCAGGAATTCTATAGTCAAGCAAGGAGTTCTGTAGCTTGGTGGATTTCCAACCCAGCCTATACAATGGAGAAGTCTTTAACTTTCCACCGGGAAGTGATAACATGTCAGTCTTTCAGGCTGAGGAGGAGTGTTCCAGTCCAGGGAACATAACATGGTCATCTTTGAAAGCCAAACTCCCCATCAACATGCCTGAGCTCAGGAGTATGATGGATTTGGCTGCAATACTGAATTCCCCCCCATTTTGCAAGGAAACCCAATCAGTGTACAGGCAAAAAATGCCATGGCTGTGGCCTACACCAGCCACCAAGGTGGGCACCAGGAATCATGCAACATATCACGGCTTTAACAATTTGGCCTTCAGCACTCTGAAAGGCCAGGTTCAGCCTTCTGCATTCTTTCAAAAGTCTCCAGCCTATGTAAGTTGTATCGTGGATCAGGTCTTCTTACAGCACCTTGTGATTTTTTTTTTTTTTTTTTTTTTTTTTTTGGACCTCAACTTGGTTCTCTCTAGCCTGCAGAAACCACTGTTTTAATCTAAGGGGATACAGTCCCCTGATTCAATTTCTTGCAAAGTGGCTTTCTTGGGAGCCATCACTTCTGACTGTTGTCTGTAGACACAAAAGAGAGCTGCCAGGTCAGAGATATGTCTAAGGCAAGGTAGTCTTATGGTATCAGTTTTTTACCGCAGCAATGGTTCTGACTTAGTCCGAACCATCAGTCTACCTCAAAGCTTCTATTAGAAGACAGACTCCCTATTTGTGCTATACTCAGGACCTCGCAAGGGACATCTGCTTGATGGATAAGACAAAATGATCGCAAGCAATTACACTGTGCTTTTAAGCACTCACTACCAGGTCATGGGTGTTTC